ATCTCATTGTGGTTTTAATTTGCATTTTCCTGATGATTAGTGATGTTGAGCATTTTTTCATGTTCGTTGGCCATTTGTAGATCTTCTCTTGAGAAATGTCCATTCATGTCATCTGCTCACTCTTTGATGGAATTGTTTGTTTTTTTCTTACTGATTTGCTTGAGTTCCTTGTAGATTGTGGATATTGGTTCTTTGTCAGATGCATAGTTGCAAATGTTTTCTCCCATTCTGTTGGTTGTTTACTCTGATGATTATTTCTTCTGCTGTGCAGAAGCAATAAATGAGACTAGGTCTCATTTATTTAGTTTTTGTTCCATTTGCTTTTGGGATCTTTGTAATAAATGCTTTGCCTTTGGCAACGTCATAAAGTTTTTCCTAGGTTTTCTCCTGGAATTTTTATGGTTTCTGGTCTTAGATTTAAATCTTCGATCCATCTCAAGTTGATTTTTGTATATGGTGAGAGATCTAGTTTCATTTTTCTGCCTGTGGCTATTTAGTTTTCCCAGAACCATTTATTGAATAGGAGGTTCTTTCCCCAATTTCTGTTTTTGCATGCTTTTATGGAAGGTCAGTTGATTGTAAGTATTTGGCCTTATTTCTGGTTTCTTTATTCTGTTCTGTTGGTCTGTATATCTAGCTTTGTATCAGTACAATCCTGTTTTGGTTACTATAGCCTTGTAGTATAATTTGAAGTTGGGGTGATGTGATACCTTAGAATTGTTCTTTTTGCTTAAGATTGCTTTGGCTATTCGGGCTCTTTTTTGGTTCCATATGAATTTTAGGATTATTTTTTTCTAATGGTATGAAAAATGATGTTGGTGTTTTCATAGGAATTGCATTGAATCTATATATTGCTTTGGGCATATGGTCATTTTAATAGTATTGGTTCTTCTAATCCATGAGCATGGGATGTATTTCCATTTGTTTGTGTCATCTGTGATTTCTTTCAGCCATGTTTTATAGTTTTCCTTGTAGAGATCTTTCATCTTCTTGATTAAGTATATTCCCAGGCATTTGATTTTTTTTTTTTTTTTTTTTTTTTTTTGCAGCCATTTTAAAAAGGACTGTGTTCTTGATTGCTCAGCTTAGTGGTTGTTGATGTATAGCAGTGCTACTGATTTGTGTACATTGATTTTGTTACCTGAGACTTTATTGAATTCATTGATCAAATCTAGGAGCCTTTTGGTAAAGTCTTTAGGGTTTTCTAGGTATATGATCATATCATTGGCAGACAGAGATAGTTTGCCTTCCTCTTTTCCAATTTAGATGCCCTTTGTTTATTTCTCTTTCCTGATTGTTCTGGCTAGAACTTCCAGTGCTATACTGAATAGAAGTGGTGAAAGTGGACATCTTTGTCTTGTTCCACTTCTTAGGGGCAATGCTTTCATCTTTTCCCCATTAAGTATGAAGTTGCCTATGGGTTTGTCATGTGTGGCTTTTATTATTTTGAGGTATTTTCTTTCTATGCCTAAATTTCTATCATAAAGGGATGCTGGATTTTGTTGAATGTTTTTTCTGTGTCTATTGAGATGATCATATGGTTTTTGTTTTTAATTCTGTTTATGTGATGAATCACATTTACTTGGGTATGTTGAACCATCCCTGCATCCTAAGATGAAACCCACTTGATCATGATGAATTATCTTTTTGCTGTGCTGATGGATTCAGTTTTCTAGTATTTTGTTGAGGATTTTTGCATCTGATGTTCATCAGGGATATTGGTCTGTAGTTTTTTGTTATGTCCTTGCCTGCTTTTGGTATCAGAATGATACTGGCTTCATAGGTAAGAGTTAGGTGGGATTCTCTCTTTCTTAACCTTTTGGAATAGTTTCAGTATGATTGATGCCAATTCTTTGAATGTCTGGTGGAGTTTGGCCATGTATCCATCTGGCCCTAGTCTTTTTGTGTTTTGGCAATTTTTGTTATTATCTATTCAGTCTCACTGGTTGTTACTGGTCTGTTCAGACCTGCTATTTCTTTCTGATTCAAGCTAGGAGGGTTGTATGTTTCCAGAGGTTTGTTCATTTCCTCTAAATTTTCTTGTTTGTTTGCACAGAGGTGTTCATAGTGTCTTAAATGGTCTTTCGTATTTTTGTGGTGCCAGCCATAATGTCTCCATTTCTATTTCTAATTGAGCTAATTGAATTTTCTGTCTTCTTGGTTAATCTAGCTAATGATCTATCGATTTTATTTATCTTTTTAAAGAACCAACTTTTATATTTTGTATTTTGATCTTTTGTTTCAATTTCATTTAGTTCTGCTCTGATCTTTGTTATTTCTTTTCTTTTGCTAGCTTTGGGTTTGGCTTGTTCTTCTTGAGACAGGGTTGTGCTCTGTCACCCAGGCTTGTGTGCGGTGACACGATCACTGCAGCCTTGACCTTCCTCGGCTGAAGTGATCCTCCCATCTCAGCCTCCCAAGTAGCTGGGACTATAGTCATGCACCACCATGCCTAACTAATTTTTTAATATTTTGTAGAGACAGTATTTCACCATGTTGCCCAGGCTTGTCTCAAACTTTTGGACTAAGCAGTCCTCCTGCCTCTGCCTCCCAAAGTGCTGGGATTACAGGTGTAAGCCACCACACCTGGCCTAGTTGGTTCTTGTTTCTCTAGTTCTTTGAGGTATGATGTTAGATTGTCAGTTTGTGATCTTTCAGACTTTGATGTAGGCATTTAGCACTATAAACTTTCCTTTTAGCACTGCTTTTGCTGTATCCCAGAAGTTTTGATAACTTGTATCTCTGCTATCATTTATTTCGAAGAACTTTTAAATGTCTGTCTTGATTTCATTGTTAACCCCCAAATCATGTAGGAGCAGCTTGTTTAATTTCCATGTATTTGTATAGTTTTGAGGGTTCCTTTTGGAATTGATTTCTAGTTTTATTCTATTGTGGTCTGAGAAGATACTTGATATAGTTCTATCTATCGATCTATCTATCTATCTATCTATTTATTTGAGACTGAGTCTTGCTGTGTCGCCCCAGGCTGGGGTACAGTGGCACGATCTTGGCTTACTGCAACCTCTGCCTCCTGGGTTCAAGCAATTCTCTTGCCTCAGCCTCCTGAGTAGCTGAATTACAGGCCCCTGCCACCACGGCTGGCTAGTTGTTTTTATATTTTTAATAGAGATGGGGTTTCACCATGTTGGCCAGGCTGGTCTTGAATGCCTGATCTCAGGTGCTCTGCCCTTCTTGGCCTCCCAAAGTGCTGGGATTTCAGGTGTGAGCCACCACACCCGGCCAATATATTTTGATTTTGAAAAAATTTATTGAGACTCGCTTTGTGGCCTGTCATGTAGTCTATCTTTTCTTAGGTCTAGTAATTGTTTTGTGAATCTGGGAGCTTCAGAGTTAGGTGCATATATATTTAGGATTGTAATATCTTCTGTTAGATCGATACTTTTATCATCATATAATGACCTTCTTTGTCGTTTTTTACTGTTGTTGCTTTAAAGTCTCTTTTATATTACATAAGAAGAGCTATTCTGCTCACTTTTGGTTTCCATTTGCATGAAATATCTTTTTCCACCACCTTTAGTTTGATTCTGTAAGACTCCTTATGTTTCAGGTGAGTCTCTTGAAGACAGCAGATATTTGGTTTGTAATTTTTTTTTTTTAATCCATTCTGCCAATGTGTATCTTTTTAAGTGAAGCATTTATATGATTTATATTCAACGTTTATACTGAGATGTGAGGTACTGTTCCATCCAGTTGATTGTTACCTGGATATTTTGTGTTCTCCATTGTGTTTCATAGGTGCTGTGCATTTTTGTACTTTCAAGAGGTTCTATTCTGATGACTGTTGAGTTTTTATTTCAAGCTTTAGAACTTTTAGCCTCAATTTATTTTTAAAGATTATATATAAGTAAGGGAAAACAGAAATTCTCTAATACTGTGCTCAACTGAGTGGACTGTGTATTTGTTTTATTTTGGATTAATTATTGCCACAAGAAATCTGAGGTTTTAGGAGTTTTGAAAATTATTAAGGTCTGTAGGTGATTTTTCCAGACTGATGATATTTCCCATCATTTGGCCACAGTACAGGAAGCGTTTGGTATAGTTTTATTTCTTACTTGAAGCAGTAAATAATTTAAATTTTTCTCTTGGTAAGAAATGTTCCATGCCTAATTTGAGTGTACTTACCCTTATTTGCTAATAAGCAGCTTAGATATTCATACCCTTTCTTCTGTAGAAATGAGAATTATACATATAATCCCAAATCAAAATATAATTTTGATCAAATATCCTAATTGATATATGCTAGACAGATTGACCTATGTGTGATTCATTTTTCCTAGGAGAAGGAAAGAGATGGTTGAAAAGAAATATTTATTTGGTAATTTATATATTGATGTAAAAATGGCACAGTCTTGGTCTTCAGATTTGTGTTTTTGTAAACTAAAACAAATAGTAAAGTTTCACAATAAAGACTATCAAATGAGTGGTTAAAGCACCAGGCTCAGGGCACAGATTGAATCCTAGCTTAGACTCTCAGTGGTTTTGTGACACTGGAAAAGTGAATTAACCTCACCAAGCCTTATTTACCCACTTTTAATGTGAAACTAATGACAGTACCTGCCTCATGGAGTTTTTGTGAGGATTAAATGATACAACATGTGTAAAATGCTTAGCTCTGTAGAAAATAGTGAATAAATGTTAGCCCATTTCACTTTGCTGTTCCTTGTATTGTAGATGTATTCATACAAAAAAACTGAGCATTTCTAAAATGTTGAATTATTTTCACGTTGAAAGTAATAGACATAAAAGGTGCATTAAGCAATTCTAGTTTCTGTGGCCAAGACACGTCAAAGAAACTAAGAATTTAAAAAATAGGTGATTGATGAAGATTAACTTTATTCATGTTTTTCCTAGCTAGACATGATAAGCAAGGTAAGGAATTTAAAATAATAATATTCCCTTAAAGTTGCTTTCCTAGGTATTTTTAGCATTGTATAATTTAAGTCTTATAGATTCATGCAGAAATCCTTTATGTTTTACAGAGTTACACTGTTAGACCTTATGATAGCCAAGATAACGAGTGATGAGCCACTCACCACGGATGACATCCCTGTGTTTTTGCGGCATGCTGAGTTGATTGCAAGCACCTTTGTGGATCAGTGCAAGACAGTGCTCAAGTTGGCCTCTGAGGAGCCTCCTGATGATGAGGTAAGGGAGGGAGATTTCCCGATCTCAGGTAAAAGAGAATGGACAGATTTTCTAACTCAGTCAAGTCCTCTATGAGAATTCTTTTTTAAAAGCTTTAAAAAAATTATGTAAATAATGTATCCATATATGAGAACAGTTAGAAAATTTAGATAAGGGAAAACTGTGTCCTTATTCCTACCATCCAGAGTCAATGACTTAAACAAATTCTGGTTAATTTTCTAGGCAAATGACATCAGATACATGCACACAGACATAGACAGTGCACATAGGTATCTATTAAAAGTGGAGCCTTTCTGTGCCTTCCGTTTGCAGGTTCCCATTTTTTATTCAGAATGTAAGCTCTAGGAGGGCAGAAATGTTGACTGTTGTGTCCATAGTTCTATGTATATGGTAGGCACTTAGCAAATATTTGCTGAATGAATAAATAAATAATACATTGTAAATGTCTTTTAAAATAAATGCCAACATAGGCTGGGCACGGTGCCTCACACCTGTAACCCCACTTCTTTGGGAGGCCAAGGTGGGAGGATCGCTTGAGCCCAGGAATTTCAGATCACCCTGGGCAACATGGTGAAACCCCGTCTTGGCAAAAACTACAAAAATTAACTGAGCATGGTGGCACACGCTATAGACCCAGCTGCTTGGGAGGCTGAGGTGGGAGGGTCACTTGAGCCCAGGAGGTTGAGGCTGTGGTGAGCCATGATTGCCCCACTGCACTTCATCCCGGGTGATGGAGTGAGACCCTTGTCTCAGAAAAAAAAAAAAAAGAAGCCAACATAACATTTCAAGTAAAGAGTTTCCTGTTTATTTGTCCAAATCCCTGTAGTTGGCCATTTAGGTTGTTTTTGTATTTTTAGACAGAACCTTGTTCTGTCGCCCAGGCTGGAGCACAGTGGCAGAGTCTTGACTCACTGCAAACTCTGCCTCCTGGGTTCAGTCAATTCTCCTGTCTTGGCCACCCAAATAAGCGGGATTCCAGGTGTGTACCACCATGCCCAGATAATTTTTGTATTTTTGGTAGAGACGGGGTTTCAGCACATTGGCCAGGCTGGTCTTGAACTCCTGACTTCACGTGATCTGCCTGCCTCGGCCTCCCGAGGTGCTGGGATTATTGGCATGAACCACCACATCTGGCAGTAGGTTGTTCTTATTTCTACTTATTTTAGATAATACTGTAGTACATGCCTTTATAGTTACATCTGTGCACGGTTTCCACAGCTGTTGTCCTAGGACATAATCTTAGAAGTGAGATTGCTATGTATAAGGATATCACATGTTTAAAGCTCTTAATACATACTTCCAAACTGCTTTCTAGACGGCTTGCTTCTTCGCTTCTTCTCTTCTTTATAGAAGATTCCTAGTTGTATACTGTCCTGGTTAATTATTTAAACTATTTTTTTACTCTCCTTAAGCCTACCTTAGATCATTCAGGTCTTGTTTTATCAGGACGTGGAAGGGAGCTTGTGTTAATTCTCTGTCCCTCCTCTTTACTTCAGAACTTGCTGTTTTTATCTATTCTCCTTTCTTCTGTGATAAAGTTAGAATTATTCTTTCTCTGGACCACTCAGCTGTAAAAAGGATGCACTTGTGATACGACAGGGAAGAATCTCAAAAGTGTGGAGGGAGAGAAGCCAGACAGACTAGAGAACATGCTGGCTGATTCCATTTCTGTGGGATTCTGTAGCAGGCCAGATATATCGGTCATGACAGAAAATAGATCAGATGTTACCTGGATCTGGAAATGAAGGAGTGGAATTGATTGCGGGGGGACACGAGGGAACTTTCTGGATAGTAGAATGTGGCATTTAGCTGTATACCTTGACGCAACTCTGTACTGTATACTTAAGATGGATTATTTCATTGCATGTATATTATACCTCAATAAAGCTGATTTAAACACATTTTAATAGAAGATGATAGAGAGTTCCTTTGTATGCTGATATGAATGGTCAGGTAGAGAGGGAGTAATTGATGCTGGAATCACCATTGGCAGATGGGTGAGACTGGAGGAGAGGGATTGGAATCCAGAGTGGATACTCATCCACTGTCCACAGGTGGGAAGGTAGAGAATGTGGTCCGTAGTGTTTCCCAGAGAGTAGTGTGTAATACTGTGAAATTATTAACTCCTGTTGTAAATGTAGCTCATGGCTGTGACTGCTCGACCACGAGAGTGTATTTCCTTTTTTGTGAATATACTTTTGTTCAGGACCATTTTGGTATTGATTTTCTGTGCTTTGTCATATAGACCATGTTAGGTCTTATAATCAGGTGGTTACTTTAGTTCTCATTTTCTATGATAGAAAAGAAAGGTCTTTATTCAGGGGCTTGCGTTTACTTTCTGGAGATAGATTTGCCTTTGTTTCCAGCAGGAGGAGCAGTGAGTCGTGCTTAAGAAAAGTTTTAAAAATTCTCTAGGAGAAAGAGAAAAGACAGATCACATCTTTAAACTTTTCAAGGCACTTCTGATTAAAGGATAGGTGATTTCAGTATTGTAGTGAGAAATTCCTGAAAATACTTTTTATATTTAGGAAAACTTTTATTTTTCCTTCAGACTTTTTTCTCTAAGATCGGAAGTATTTTTATATATTAATGGAATGGAAAATTTTAGACTGGGAACAGTGGCTCATACCTGTAATCCCAATAATTTGGGGCACCAAGGTGTGGGAGGATTGCTTAAGCCCAGGAGTTGGAGACCAGCCTGGGCAACATAAGGAGACTCCTCCATCTGTACAAAAAAAAAAAGAATTAGCTGGGCATGGTGGTGTGCGCCTGTGGTCCTAGTTACTGGGGAGGCTGAGGTGGGAGGCTTGCCTAAGCCCAGAAGGTTGAGGCTGCAGTGAGCTGCGATTGTGCTGCTGCACTCCAGCCTGGGGGAGAGTGAGACCCTGTCTCAAAAACAACAACAACAACAAAAAAACATAGGCAGTTTTCTTTTGCAAAGCCAAATTAATTTACTTTTGGAAATTTATTGAGTTATACATTTATGACTTGTGCATATTAATGTAGATATGTCATACTTTTTTTTTTTAAAGGGGACCCCTTATGCCAGTATTTACATATGCCAAAGACCAAGTGGTATGCTGGAGCTGGCCTATGGTAACTTCTAAGAGTTGATTATTGAGTGCTTAGAAATTTATGAGCTGATTGTTAAATTGTTGGTACCTTGAAATCATCCATGGTGGAAAGTAGTTATGCCATGGAAACCAGCAAAAGCTACAGACAGGGCTTTCCACCAGCCTCCTCCTCCCCAGCCATTCTTCTGCCAAACCACTGCATTTACTCATTGGTGATCTTTTTAGGAGAAGATAGATATTCAATAAAGTTCTCAATGCTGTGACCGAAAAGGGAGAATGGAAACAGTTGTATTTATAGCACGTGTTTTTTAATTGATGTAATTGTTTGGCTTTAAAATCCCAAGGTTTTCTTCATATGTTTCTTTATAAAAATAGTTTTGGGTTCTCATGTTAATGTACTTATTCCTGTCTTTTGATATATTTTGTATACTTGTTTCCAGTTCTTGATATATTTTTGTCAGTTCTGAATCTTGTTCACTTGTGGCAAACCTTGCCTTTTCTCTGAAAGCTTAAAAAACATTCTTTTTAGCTTTGTATTTTCTGATACCCATATATTACAATAATTGTCCTCAGGTTGTGGGATTTGCATTCTGTTTTAATCTTTGCAACCCCAGTTTAGACCATACTGTAGTACCTGTTATGCAGTAGGTATTACATATTTAGCTACATAATACATATTTAATACATATTCTGCAATAAATAGTGCATTTTTTCCACATATGAAGGGCTTAAATGTTTGTTTTAGGCAAATAGTATTTGCTTTGTTGTTAAAAATTATTTAAGCTGAAGTCAGTGAAACATAAAGTTTCAGTTGGGCCTGGTGACTCAGGCCTATAATCCCAACACTTTGGGAGGCTGAGGTGGGCTGATCGCCTGAGGTCAGGAGTTTGAGACCAGCCTGACCAACATGGTGAGACCCTGTTTCTACTAAAAATACAAAAATTAGCCTGGCGTGGTGGCGGATGCCTGTAATCCCAGCTACTCGGGAGGTGGAGGCAGGAGAATCGCTTGAACCCGGGAGGTGGAGGTTGCAGTGAGCCGAGATTGTGCCATTGCACTTCAGCCTGGGCGACAGAGCAAGACTCCCATCTTAAAAAAAAAAAAGTTACAAAGTTTTCCCCTTTTTGCCCAGTCTCCGTTTGTTTTCTGTAGATCTATATTCATGTCCCTTTTTTTTTGTTTTCTTTTCAAAGGTCTTTTTTCGTATGTATGCACCTATATGTGTTTTGTTTTCATTTTTTACACTATTCTTCAACTTGCTATTTTTATTTATGATATAACTTGTACATCTTTGCACTTTAGCATGTGTATATTCATTGTATGTTTTTAATAAATAATATTTAATTATATAGACGTATTTATATTTATTTATTTAATTATATAGACATATCATAATTTTTTCATTTGTTCCCTATAGACGTTTCAGCTGCTTTCAGGTGGCTTTTTTTTTCTTTTAACCTTTATAAATAATGTTATAGTGAACATCCTTGTACAAATTTCGGACAAGTAAATCTGAGATTATAAATTCCTGGAGTTGAATTGCTGGGTCGAAGAATTAGGTATTTTTAAAAACTTTAGAGAGATTTCTAAATTGCACACCAGTGCAACACAAGATTGCATGAGCTGCCCTTTGCAGATCTGATTTAATTACTATTTCTCATTAATGTTTTTCAGTGACCATTGTTTGTTTTGCATATTAGGTTACTCTTTAAAATGCATTTATTGAAAAGCATTTTCTGGAAATTAATCTTTCTGTCATACATACAGTAAACTATTGTTCACGTAATTTTTGTTTGAATTTATTTCTGATGTTCTGTTAGCCTTTTAGTCGTTTTTTGTTTGTGTTTAATTAAGGTTATCAATTTTATCCTTCTGGCTTCTGGATTTCTTTTTTTTTTTTTTTGAGAGCTGACAGCCAAGAAGATTTTTGTTTGTTTGTTTTTTAAGTAAATTCTCCACTTAGATCGTGGAAATATACACTTACATTGTCTAGTTCTTTCAGTACTTAGTTCTCATTTTTTATTTATGTAGAATTTATTTTTGAGCAAGGAGTGAGTTATGGATCCAAATGAATTATTTATGTCTTTTGACTATTCAAGATTATAAAATCTTTGGTGTGAGACTGACTGGGTTTGAATCTTGATTTCTTCTGTTACAGGTATATGATCTTGGAAAAGTTACTCATCCTCTCTCTGCCCTTCTTTTTCTTGAAATGGGTTATGTTATTGTTATTTTTTTAAATTTTGAGATAGAGTATTGCTCTGTTGCCCAGGCTGGAATGCAGTGGTGAGGTCTTGGCTCACTGCAACCTCCATCTCCCGGGTTTAACTGATTCTCCTGCCTCAGCCTCCTGTGTAGCTGGGATTACAGGTATCCACCACCATGCCCGGCTAGTTTTTGTATTTTTAGTAGAGATGGGATTTCGCCATGTTGGCCAGGCTGGTCTTGAACTCCTGACTTTGGGTGATCCACCCACCTCAGGCTCCCAAAGTGCTAGGATTATAGGCGTGAGCCACCGTGCCCAGCCAGGTTGTATTTGAATATAAACATTTAATATGCCGATTGGTACAAGTTAATGTTCCCTAAATGTTATCTGTTCATTATTATTTCAGTACCATTTAGTGAATAATCTTATCCTTTCCACTAATTTTTTTTTCTTAATTGAGACAGAGTCTTGCCCTGTTGCCCAGGCTGGAGTGTAGTGGTACAATCATAGCTTGCTGTATTCTCCAGCTCCTGGGCTTGAGGATCCTCCCACCTACCTGTATCATATCCTAAATTCTTTTATTTATTTGGGCAATTACTGGTTCCCTCCAAACAAATTGGAGGGAACCAGTAAGATGTTAACAGCTGGAGAAGGGAGAATTCAGAGAGAGATGTGTTTATATGCCATAAAGGAACACTGAAATGAACATACAAATAAATGCAAAAACTGATCTACGGAGAAAGGAGTTGCAGTCCAGGCAGATATAACTAATTTGCATTTTAATGGACAGGAATAATTCTGTATTAATATAAGTTTTCTGTAACTCACAAAGCTGTAAAATTGCTCAAAGATACTAAATGACAGGGTTAACTGAGACAGGTGAGTTAGACAGGAGACTAATCTTTTTTTTTTTTTTTTTTTGCTCACTTAAAATTTTTTCACAATTTTCCTTTCTTTTTCTTTTTTTTTTTTTTTTTTTTTTTTTTCCCGCTAGTGCCTGATTTAATTAATATTAGTTTCATAAGACTTTTAAATATCTGGAAGGGCATTTTGCTCATTAATCTTATTTTTTAAGAGAGTAAATTTTCCTGGCTGTTCTTTCATTACTAATTTCCAGATGCTCATTAAAAACACTTCATTAATAAAATGATTTTAATGACTAAAATTGGGGATGTGTTAGGTGGGGATAGATTAATTTTCTTTTAGGTTTATTTTAGTTAATATCATAGAATTTAAGAGCTGGAAGGAGACTTCCAGTTCATCTCTTCCAACCTCTAATTTTATTCATGTCGTTTTAACGTGGAAAATTTCAAACATAGACTAAGAAGAAAGTGTACTTAAACTCCATCTGCCATCCCCTGGCTTCAGCAGCTTCCCCTTCATCACCATTCTTCTTTCCTCCACAGTTCCACTCGTTCTTATGCCAGTTGCCGTGGACTGATTCAAAGCTCCAACATATTTCATCAGTTACTCTAAAAGATAAGGAGTCATCAGATACAAGTATAATACGATGTGAACATCTAAAATAACTAATAATAACATGTATTATCAAATAAATACTATTCAGATTTCCCCCATTGTCTAATAATCTTTTTCAAGTTTGTTTTGTTGAAACAGCATAAAGAGAAGGACCGTATGTTGCAACTGATTGACATAACTTTACTCTAGTGTATAGGTTCGCCTTCCCTCTTCTTTTTTTTCCTCTTTGCTACTTACTTGTTGGAGAAACTGGCTTGTTTTTCCCATAGACTTTTCTAGATTTCAGATTTTGATGAGTATGTCTCCAGGGTGGCACTTAACATATTCTTCTGTACCTTGCATTTCCAGTGAATGAAAATTAGTTCCAGAGGCATATTCAGATTTGGGTTAGGTATTTTTTTTGTTTATTTTTGCAGTAGTGTTTCGTTGTTGGTAATACTGTTTTCATCAAGAGGCACATGAGGCTCGGTTATCTCTCTGTGATATTAGCAGTCATGAATGATGACCTAGATCCATGAATTCTTTAGGGGTTGCAGAATGGTGGCATTTTAACATTATTGTTCATTCTTTGTTTATTAGCAGGAATATTTTTTAAAGAGAAACTTTCCCTAATCAATTCTTAGGTTCTGTGAGGTACACGGGATGAGGAAAGGCAGGATAAGTGCTTGATTGTTTTCCCCCTTGATTACCAATCTTCAGAGTAATGAGTTGGTTTAGTGGCATCATTCAAAGATGACCAGTGAGTTGGTTTGTTTTGTTTTATTTTCATCAGGAAGCCATAGCTTTAAAATCACTCACTTTGTTTTCAGTCTGCTGCCGTAATTCTTTCTGTTGTTTAATGTGCCACCGCTGGCCAGTGGGAGCCTCATCAAGTTGTTTCTGATTCTGAATTTCTGACATGACCCTAGTAGCCTGTAATAGCGTCTTTGTTATCTGCTAGGACGAGGTGTCCACGGTTACCTTTTGCATGGTCTGCCCCAGGTCTATTCTTGAAGGAGCAGTGGTATCTGAAGAAAACAATCTGGGCAACTACGCCTTTAACAAAAGAGGTTGTTGAAGCTTTGTGAAATTGATGGACTTGGTCAAGACTCGTTTTAATATGGTACTAACTTTAGACTTCTAATCGAGATTTTTCCCCTTTAACTCTTTAGCAAAAGAAGGCTGTGATATAAAATTAAAGATCCAAGACATTAAAAATATGTGTTGTTTCTTGCTATTTATTTTGAGATTTCAGAATACTGTATTAATATATTACCTTTAAATCTCTTAATTAGAAAGCAGTAAATACATGTTTAGCATTAACAAGGAAGTAATTTGTCTTTCTTTTGAAGAATGTTCTTTTTTTTTTGGTTGAGACAGAGTCTTGCTCTGTTGCCTCGGCCAGAGTCCAGTGGCATGATCTTGGCTCACTGCAACCTCCGCCTCCTGGGTTGAAATGATTCTCCTGCCTCAGCCTCCCTAGTAGCTGGGATTACAGGCGCCCGCTACCACGCCTGACTAATTTTTATATTTTTTTAGTGGAGACGGGATTTCACCATGTTGACCAGGCTGATCTTGAACTCTTGACCTCAAGTGATCCTCTGACCTCGGCCTCCCAAAGTGAAGAATGTTATCTTTATGGACTAACTTTATAATCTCTGCCACATTTTGTCAAATAATGGGTACTTTAAAAATGGGGTTCAAAATCTATACAAAAGTTACATTTAAAATTTTTATATAGACTAATGCTATGCAGTTGGTACCGGGCAGTTTCTTGGTCATGCAGTGTATTTGATAATAAATTATTTAGTAGCTATGTGAAGTAGCGTTTTCAAATAATACTGTCTTTCTGATCTACCAAGATATTGCATAGAAGTTCATATTTACCCAGAAATTATGCAAGTTCTTAAAGCCAGAGTTTTTTCAACCACAGCATTTTACAGGATTTCTGTGGACAAGAAATTAATGTATTTCATGGGCTATTTGTATCTTTAAAGTGGAATTTGCATGCTGGGAATGCTTTAAAAAGAAAGTATTTGCATAAATGTCATGTACGTAGCTAGTAATTTTGAACATTTATTCCACTGTTGGAATGTCTTTTTGCTTGAATAAGAACTTTTCTGACTCTTTGCTCCAAGAAGACACATAATGACACATAATCTTGCATTCTTGATGGCAGATGTCTGCTGTTAGTGAAAATGATGAGTCGTGTACATATTTCGTACTTCTGTTTTGTTCTTCATAGTTTTGTTTTTCTCTTTGACTTATTACAAGCCCTGACTTTAAATTTATTGAAATATTTTATTCTCTTACAGTTATTTATAACAGTTAAATCATTTCACTTAAAATATGCTTTAAAGTTATGTTTTATTTTCTTTCTAGGAGGCACTGGCTACGATTAGGCTTCTCGACGTCCTGTGCGAAATGACTGCGAATACTGAGCTGCTCGGCTATCTGCAGGTTTTCCCTGGCTTGCTGGAAAGAGTGATTGGTGAGTGAAATATCACACATTGTATTTTTAGCTAAGAAATCTTTGGCTCGTCATACTGTAATGTAAATACAAATATAAATCCTTAATTTTCAGTGTACTTTTGGGAATTTTGTGAATATATTTTATTGAGAGGAATCACAGTGTTGTAACAGTTCAGGCGGGCCAGATAAACCTGAGCCCACATGGTTTTTCAGCCACTTCCCTTCTGCTTAACTGAAGATTCCTTCTCAGTAACATGAGGATAACAATGCCTGTAGGTGCACATGATAGATGTTTCATCAGTATAGGATGTGATGAAGGTGGTGGGGCAGGGGAGGTTTGTGATGATGATTGTGGCTTTATATTACTAGAGCTTTGCACAATGTGGCAGTAAATTTTTCCCATTTACATTTAGTGAACACATAGAATGGTGTTTTATACACATTATATATACAAATCTTATGAGAAAGTGGTTTTAAACAAGAAACCATTGTTAAAAGTATTACCAACCTTGCTAAAAAGCTGTTTGCAAAATAATTGACGTAGAACCTGTTCCTTGTGGCTGGCTGTGCTTAGGTTTGCTATGCATTATTTGCAATTTTTTCCTTTAAAAAGATGATACTTACTCTGGAGACGAGTGTACTGAGAATGATGACTTTGTGTCTAGCAGGGTAGATGAGCTAGCAGTGAGCTGTAGAGGAAGATCCTTAGAATTCCTCATCAGTGTTTTATTTTGAGTACAGTGCTTTTAGTGATAATTTGAATAAAACACCGTGAACCTGGGACACTGAGTGATTATGGAAAGAGCCTGAGTTTGGAGCCAGGCTCGATGTGGGTTGCCATCCCAGCTCTGCACTTTTCTGAGCCTGTTGTTTTCTTCATTATAACATTGGGAAAGGGATACTTTCCTGTATAGGTTTGTTGAGAGGGTTAAATGCGGAAACACTGAAATGCAGTTCCTAGAAGATTGTCTGTTTTCATTGGCTGCCTGGAGGTGATCATAGAGTAGAGCAGTAGTAAGTTCTTTCTCCTGAAGGTAGCTGGAGTGAAGTATGGAGAACACATGCTGGCTTCTGATGATTTGGCCAGTCGGATGAGGGAAAAATAAGCACTCTTCTTGGTTTCTGTCATATGCGTCATTGTGGATAGATATTGTGTTTTAGACTTCACTGACTGAAGTTATTAGAAGAGTTCTTTCATAAAGAAGTTGAGATTGGAAACCTTTTTGTAAGAAAGATGCTAGCAAACTTTTAGCTAACTTTTCTTTGTAGATAAATAGAAACTCTGAGTTGGGGTAGTCATTATGGCTTATCTCCCCAAAACTAGAGTCACAAAATTTAAAGCAAATGCAGAAGAGCCTAAAGCTTTCTGTGCTCTACCTTTAGTCTATTAAAATAAATTAGATTTGGTTATGGAAAACTATTAGTACAAAATACTAAAAGTTACTTTTCTGTGGAAAATGAAGTTTACTCTTTTGGTTATAGATCTTTTACGGGTGATTCATGTAACTGGAAAGGAAACCACAAACATCTTCAGTAATTGTGGTTGCGTGAGAGCAGAAGGTGACATCTCCAATGTGGCCGAGGGGTTTAAGTCTCATCTTATTCGTCTGATTGGAAATCTGTGTTACAAGAATAAAGATAACCAAGACAAGGTAAGAGGATTTCTTAGTATGTGTTATACGTGTATAGCTTCGTTTAGAATATAGTCTTTGGCAGACATTCACTCTTTTGGAGTGAAAACCTGAGGTGCTTAGAAAGTAGCTTGGATAGAGAGATGTATATTTTATATGTATACACATACACACACCCCTATGTATACATACACGTATGTATCTATATATGTATATGTTAATATATAGGCTCTTTGGAGCCTAGAGAAATTTCTGACACACAGTAGATATTTAATAAACACTAGTTATTATTGCCTATTAAGAAAAAACAAAGCTTAGATCTATATCCTATGTTTATGGATGATAGCATCATAAGCCTTTTCTTCTAGGTGTTTTAAAATGGGTATAAAAGGAATATAATATTTAAGTATGAAGTCTTTGAGGACCTAGTAGGCTGCTTTTAGAAACCTCTTATGTGCAGAACAGCTTAAAGGTAATTAGATCGAGAATTAGAGAGAATGGTAAGAAAGATCTCAGGGCAATTGGACCATATGCTTCAGATTGATCTCACCTTTCTGTATTTTTCTGGAGTTTTACTTTGGGTGGCATTTGATTTGCTTAGTTAAATATTAATTAAATTTGTGCCAGATTATATTTTTCTAAGATGGTGGCAGAATGTCTTGCATTGTACATGTGTTTCTTTGCAGTATGACTTTGCCACTCCTCTGCCAAGGGTTGGCATCTGTTTCTCCACTTGAATCTGGGCAGGCCCTGTGGCTGCTGTGAGGAATCAAATATATGATCCTATACTATTTCTAGCATAACCCGTAACTGGTCTAGCTGATTCTATTTCTGGCTTCTTAGAAGCCAGTCACCATGTAAGAAGTATAGATTCCCAGATATCACCTTGCTGTGAGTTGCTGAATACACACGGAAAAGCCCTGGAAGATAAGATACAATGAGGAGAGAGGAAAAGCCTAGTGAATGAACACCAAGGTATGAGATGTGTGTGAGAAACCACCTTGGGAGTAGATCCATCCTCAGTTTCTTACTTGCCCAGCTGATGCCACATTGATCAGGGCCCCCCTACTGGGCAAAGCCCTTTCTGAATTTATGACCTATAATATTATGAGAAAAAGTGAAAAGTAGGGAAAACAAACAAGTGATGTAGGTCCTGCTTCTGTTAGTACCCCAGGAAGTTACTGTTGGACTGATCCTTCTTCAAATAGCAATTACAAACTTCGGACAAAAAACAGTCATGTGAAGACACTCAAATTTGACACAAATGGGCAGATTCTGGAGTGAAATTGACACTTGGAAGAAGGGAATGACACAGTATGTGGCAGGCAGGGCAGTGAAAAGTCAGCCACAAAATCTTCAGTCTTTCTAGCTTGAAGAATCAAAGAACAGTTTGAGGGCAACCATAGCATTGGAAAGTGAGGGGGCAATTGTGGAAAGTAGAAAACAGACCCTAAACTCTGGGTGTCAACTACCTAAATCTCTGCTAATGCCTGAATCACACGTGCGGGGCAGGCTCCAAGCAGCTAAGCTAAGGTTGAAGTAATTGTATTGAGATTTGAGCTCCCACCCTAGAGTTTACAGTGTAAGTCCAACTTACACTGTAGATAATTGATAATTGCCCTCTAAAAAAAAAACCAACACTCTTTAGAGGAATATAATATAATCCAGAATTGCTACAGCATAATATATCCTGTAATGTCCAGGATACAGTTTAAAACTACTTGACGTTCAGGAAAATGTGACCTGTTCTCAATTGAAAAGATAATCAACAGAGACTGACTGTGAGAGGACTCAGCTACTGGGCTTAGCAGACAAGGATTTTAAAGTAGCAAATGTAACCATGCTCAAGGATGTGAAGGAAATAACGCTTCATAAGAGTGAAAAGATAGGATATCTCAGCAGAGAAAGAGAAACTATAAAAAAGAACCGAATGGAAATTCTAGAACTGAAAAATATAGTATCTAAAATTTAAAAAAAAGTACCTAATGTGCTTAACCTCAAGAAAGATCACAGAGGGAAAAGCCAGTACACTTTAAGATACATCATTAGAAATCATCTAGTCTGAAAACCAAAGGCAGGGAGAAGGACTGAAAATAAAATGGCCACTTTAAGATGCTAAATGTTGGGGTAGTTTGTTACGCAGCCATTGATAACTACTGGAATAATTCCTGTGAGACATGGCACAGAACCAAATGCTAGACAACTTGCACTTTTAGTGTATGGGCACACCATTTTGGCAGTCCTCATCTTCAGGAGAGTGAGATTACTAATTCCCCCTTGGGAAATTACTGGACTGATTTTTGCAAAAGAAAGTTGATAGAGAATAAAACACTTCACCTTTTTAATGACCAGGACTGCCTTTCTTGAGCACAAAAGAGGTGGTTTTTCTTGTGTTTAACTATTCTTTTGTTGCTAATTTGGACTGGCCTCTTATAGGAACAAAATGTAGTAACCCTTAAAAGGCTTGTGAAATAACTCACTGAAGTCAGGATCAGATTGCACCATAAGTAAATATGGAGTGTGCCCAAGTGCTGCTGTGTAGAGGTCACTGGGGCGCACAGGAAGTCGATGCTGTGTCCTGTCACTTGTGCAGTTGCTAATAGCACTGCTGATTTCTCAGCAAACAGTTTAGAGGGTATGAAGGAGTTCATTCTTTGAGTATCAACTCAAATGCCTCTGTTTCTCCCAGTTTCTTACCTGTGTCAACAAAAGGCCTGAACCTGAAAGCATTACCTCTGGGATTTTTTTCCTCCTTCCAAAGACTGACACAACACCGAAATCTTATTCTGGATGTGCTGGAGTCTTCTTTATTCTTGTAGCCAAGTCCTGGTTCCAGCTGGGTGTTACAGATACTTGCCTCGCTCATTGTTGCCTCAAGGGATAGAGTTCACTAGTACTCAGATGACTTTGGTTATAGTTTTGGGAAAATGGAATGGATGGTTATGTAGCAGGTCCTTATCATGGGACCAGTAATTCTCAGTGTTTTGTCTTGATGGGTTATCTCACTTCTAACCCCGCTAGGGCTTTAAGGGAAATTTGGCTCTGTCTTTGCTCCAAGACTAAAGATCTGAGTTGGGAGAGATTTCGTAGCATCTAGCCTAATTTGGGTTCCTCTTTTGCCCAGAAGACAAAAGGGACTGATGATTTATTGTTTAGTGTTTACTATGTCCTGGCATTGTGCTTAGTGAATTACATGTATTATCAACTTTAATCTTTGCATCAGCCTTGCAAAGCAGGTTCTGGTAACCACATTTTAAGGAGAGGTCATCCAGTTAGTGAGGTGCAGAGCCCAGGGTAGAATTTAGATTTGTTTGCCTATTGAGTTCCCAGGCCTATGCTCGCTTCCCTGCACAATGGTGAGAACTTTCCAAAAGGTTGGAGAAAAGGGTTTAAAATAGACTTCCTGAGGGACTTGAGGCTGGAGGCTGGTCAGTCTGGGTCTCCTAGGCCAGCCAGACCCCTTCGACTCCCTCCGGGTTGAAGTCTGGAACTCTGGGGATCCTCTCATCCTTGTTTCTGATTTCACCCATTCATCAAATACGAATGTTCCCAGCCTTAGGGATCCTTTGATGGGTAAGTCGGGCAAGGTATTAATATGTTCTGTGAAGCTTCCATTCTGACAGCATCTAGGGACCATGCTTGCCTCTTTGAATCAGAATCTCAAAACTAGTTATGACACAAATTTTCCTAAAATCGTTGTGCACTGCCTGATTCCTCTGAATTTTGAGTAAGAGTCTTTTAAGCCCAGCTGTGTCTGTGTTGTCTGTGTAACTTCATCCATTGCAGTGAGTATGGTGCCCACCTGGTGGATGGCCCCCTTATACTCTTGTGGCCCTTTCCATTTTCTGGACCTCTTTTCATCTGCTTGAGTTTGTTGGAGCCTTGTGATACCTCTGTGGAAAGGGCTGAAAAGATATTTCCACCATCATTTTCTAAATGAAGAAACCCAAGGCCCAGAGACCAGGTGTGATTTAACTCAGCTAGCACTTGCTGAGTGAGAATTGCCGTGTGCTGCATGCTCTGGAGAAGACAGTCACTTTAGTGGTGGAATGACACATACGCACTAGAAGCTGTAGCAAAAGTTTGTGTGGTGAGGCCTGTCAGAGAGGAACAGGGGGGTGATGTGTCCTCTGGGCTGGCTGTGCCAGGAGCATTTCTCTCTAAGGACAGGCACTGGACTGCCAGGAGCATGGTATCAATTGGAAGGGTGGTCATCTTTCTTTGAGATATTTGTCTTTGGGCAAGATTTAAGAGAATCAAGGTTCCTAAGGTACCTGGCCTCAGATTGGAAATCTGCACAGAAATGTATTTTACCCCAAATTCTCATGAGTCTTTAATGCTTAAGTCTGTACATGTGATAGATGTAGTATTTCCTGAATGTGAAGGAATTGCTAGACTTCCCTTTACCACATCATGGTAGGGAGGTGTCAAATCCTTACTGACTTTTATTCTTACCTTGTTTTTTTGTTCTCAACTTGCGTAGTATTTCCTTGATACAACTGTAGTGATTGGTTTACTTCTAAAGTTTTGTGGACCTAAATGGAGATTCTGTTTTGGTTTCTATTGTAAGAAGCACAAAGATACTAATGCTGAAAATATGAAGAAAGCATTCTTCAGCTTCTTCTTTGTTAGAATAAGGAATGTATGGTTTACCTTTTTCTTCCCCATTCTTCTTTTCTTCACTGTTGTCATAACCTCTTTAAGTGAATCTTTATTAGAAGAAAACCCAAACATTTTTATTTCATAAAGCTAAATGCATTTTTCAAATCGGACAGACAGATGATCTAGTTTATCTACCTTCTGCCTGCCAAGGAAATTTTATTGACTAGGATGGGCCATATGTCCATTCTGCTAAAGGTTATGGAAATGCTGTTCAATTTCTCCTCCTCCTCCCTCCTCCTCCTCCCTCCTCCTCCTCCCTCCTCCTCCTCCCTCCTCCTCCTCCCTCCTCCTCCCTCCTCCTCCTCCCTCCTCCTCCTTCCTCCTTCTCCCTCCTCCTCCTTCCTCCTTCTCCCTCCTCC